CTTCTCCCACCGGCTAAGGCCGTTTACTTCTCCCAGGTGGAGATTGCGAAGGGGTGTTATGATGCTATTGTTGCGCAATATTTCCACCCCTTCCTCTGCCTCCCTCAGCCGCCTCCTCATGCCGTTTGTGTTTCCCGACCTTGGCTCATTTGCTACTGTCTCCAACCTCACCACTCACCTGCGTTCCCTCGAGGCTAGCTACCGTGCAGCCTGCATTGAGGCTCAGCTTCTCCTTGCCCCCCCTCCTATGTGGCTCACCGTGCACTGGTTAGTCACCCGCCTTCCTGACCACCTCTCCACTGCCCGTGGCGCGCTTCTTCAGAAGCACCCTAGTGAGCTTACGACCGATCTTCTTGAGAGCACTCTCGAGAGGATAGAGAGTAACCTCCTCTCTGTTGCCTCTGCCACTAACGCAGTCGCTCCTCGTCTCTTTGAGGGGTGTGCTGTCCCTCAGCTTCCCACCTTCAGTGCTACTCATGCCACTGCTGCGGCGTCTGTCTCTGAGGAGATTGCAGCTGTTTCTGCCGCTGACTGGCAGAAACGAGGCAAGGGTGGCAAGAAAGGGGGGAAGGGCGGTGGCGGCGGTGGCGGAGGTGGCGGTGGTGGAGGCGGTACTGGGAGGGGCGGTGGTGGCGGCAGCGGTTCTGGTGCACCTGGAGGAGGGAGCTCTGGAGGAGGTTCTGGACCGGCGGGCCCACCAGCTGGAGGTGTGGTGCCCGTCGGTGGTGCGGGGGCTCAGCAGCACCAGTTATAGCACAGACAGCAGCAGCTGCAGGGACAGCTAGCAGCGGCAGGTGCCGCAGCAGGGTCAGCCGTGGGGGCCCCCATTGCAGTGGGGTCCTCAGCAGCACTGGGGCCCCACGCCACAGTGGGGACCTGGAGGCCCATGGAGCACTGGCCGCAGCAGCAGTACCACCAGCTGGGGCCCTCACCCCCCTCGGCGCGACTCCAGCCCCTGCGACCACTGGTGCCTCACCGGACCAGGCAGTCCCTGCGTCTGCGGCCGCGACGACCACTCTGCAGCGCGGTGCTTCCGCCGCCTCGACGGCCTCTACCATGCCCGTTACGGTAGTGAGGCGCGCACCCCGCGCTGGGCTCAGCTGCTAGCTCGTAAGATTGCTGTGTTTGATCTGACTATGGATGAGGCTCGCCAGTATGCTTTGTATGCTGATGTTGACTATAGTGCTGATGGATCTGTGTGCTCGCGTGTTCCTAGACTAGGATCCTTGCCTGTTGCTAGCGTAGATTTGTGCCTCTCTAGTCTAGGTGCTTGTGTTGCTGCTCTAAGTGCTTGTGTAGCTACCAGACCAGGTGCGCCTCCGGCTGAGGCGTCCCTGTCCTTCACGCTGGACTCTGACGCGTCTCAGTGCTTCTTCCGCGACCACACGACGCTCACACCGCTCCTTGATCCTGTTCCCGTAGCTCTGGCTGATCCTTCCTCAGGACCAGCCGTTGCGCGCAGCTCCACTACCCTCCCGTGCCCTGTGGTCCCCTCTGGTGTCCTGCGCGGTCTCCGCATCCCCTCGTTCACTTGGAACTTTGTGGGTGTTGGATACCTCCAGGACAGAGGGATCATTGTTACCTTTGTGGGGGGTGGGAGGACTGCGGTCTGTACGGACGCTGCCACCGGTGCTGTTCTGGCCACGTTCACCAGGGAGCCCCGCTCTGGTCTCTACATCCTCCACACCGAGCACTCCCGGGTAGCTACGTCCACTCAAGTCGCTGCGTCCCCTCAGGTCGCTGTGTCCAGTCATGTTGCTTTGTCTAGTCCGGTTGCTGCGTCTGGTAAGGTTGCTACGGCTTGCTCCTGTCGGTCTCTCGCCCACCCGACCGTCTTGTGGCACCACCGTCTTGGCCACCCGTCGATCCCCCGCCTCCGCAGCATGGCTAGTCACTGTCTTGTCTCGGGTCTCCCTCGCGTCTTTGCGTTGCTCCCTCCCTCGCCTGCACCGCCGTGCACTCCTTGCATCGCTGGCTGCCTGCGCGCCACTCCGCACTCCTCCTCCCTTCGTCCGGCCACTGCTCCCTTCCAGTCTCTCCACTTGGACGTCTGGGGCCCTGCCCCTACGCAGGGACCTGAGAGGGAGCGCTACTTTCTGGTGGTCGTCGACGACTACTCCAGGTACACCACGGTGTTTCCTCTCGCGAAGAAGTCCGAGGTGACTTCTACGCTGATGCGGTGGCTTCTGGCCACTGAGGGCACTCGTGGTCGTCGAGTCTCCTATCTCCACTCCGACCGTAGGGGCGAGTTTCGCTCCGGCATCCTTCGCGGATTCTGCGGCGAACATGGCATCTCACAGTCCTGCACGCTTCCGGAGTCCCCACAGCAGAATGGGGTTGCTGAGCGCCGCATTGGCTTGGTCATGGACATCGCCCGCACGTCCATGATCCATGCCCGTGCGCCCCATTTTCTGTGGCCCTACGCGGTTCGCTACGCCGCCGACCAGCTGAACCTCCAGCCAAGTGTCTCGCGGCCAGAGGCTTCACCGACCAGTCTTTGGACCGGGTCCCCTGGTGTTGGGTCGGCCTTTCGTGTATGGGGCTGCCTTGCGCTTGTCCGCGATACCTCTGCGGACAAGCTCTCGGCTCGTGCCATCCCCTGTGTCTTCCTTGGTTTCCCGGTGGACTCTCCCGACTACGCCTTTCACCACCCGCCCCTCCACCAGTTCCTCGACTCCCGTGACGTCCGGTTTGACGAGTCATTGTCCTACTACGCTCGCTACCCCTGTTGAGGTCTCCCGGTTCCCCCCCCTCCCCTTTTCCTCGCTCCCTCTCCTCCTCCTACTCCCGCTCCTCCGGTACCCCTGCCCCCCCCTGGTCCTGCCCCGTCAGGTGTGTCTCACGCTACCCCTCTACCCTCGGTCGCGCGTCAGGTAGCGTCTCCCTCCCCACAGTCCTCCTCACAGTCCCCTCAGCAGCCTTCGGCACTTCCGCGACAGGTTACTGTGGACTCAGTTGGTGTTGGAGCTGGAGGTGCTGCCACTGGAGGTACTCGTTCTGGGGGTGCTCTTTTGAGGGGTGCTGAGGTGCTGGAGCTGGAGGTGCTGGCACTGGAGGTGCTAGTTCGGGGGGTGCTGGAGCTGGAGGTGCTGGCACTAGTGGTGCTAGTTCTGGGGGTGCTGGAGCTGGAGGTGCTGGCGCTGGAGGTGCTAGTTCTGGGGATGTTGGAGCTGGAGGTGTTGGCGCTGGAGGTGCTAGTTCTGGGGGTACTGGAGCAGGAGGTACTGGCACTGGAGGTGTAAGTTCCGAGGAGACTGGAGATGGAGGCACTACTACTGCGCCTCCCCACCGCCACGACACACGTCTCCAGCCGGCTCGCCGACGTGAGCGTGAGGAGCATGAGCGGTTGGAGCAGGAGAGGCAGGAGCTGCGGCAGTTGGACCTGCAGGAGCAGCAGGAGCAGCAGCAGCGGCACCAGCCGCCGCAGCAGCAGCGTTCGCCGCAGCCGCCACTTTTGCAGCAGCTATTCCCACCAGTGAGTGGCCTTCGGGCCCTTGGTCTTCCCTCCTCTCCTCCTGTCCACTCACAGTCTCCTACCGCATACGGCCCTACGTTTCCTCCTCTGGACTCGGCTCCGGCTGTTTTCTCTCCTCCTCAGTCACAGTCGCCTCCTCCTGTTCTCCCGCACGACTGGACCACTCGTTGTCCTCCGCGTGCTCGTCCCTCGTCTCCTTTTGACGAGCTCCGCACTGTCTTGTTTCGTTCTAGTCCTCATCGTGCTCCGCCTGTGTCTGTTCTCCCGCCACCTCCTGCGTCGTCTCTCACTGTCTCCTCTCACCCTATCACTGACTACTACCGTGCTGCTCGTCCTGTTGTCTCGCGTGTTCTCGCCTCTCTTGTCACCGACCCTCGTGCCTCTCCGTTGTCCGTCTCGGCTCTTACTGCCGCTGTCGCTGACTTTGCTTCCACCCGCCGCCTTGACTTCGCCACGCATGTAGTGGCTGCTCCGCATGCCCGTCCTCTGTCCGCCGGGGGTGAGTTTGCCCTTGGCTGTGACGTCCTAGAGGACAGGCAGTTTGAGCTGGAGTTCTTGGCAGCCGCTTCTCCCTCTCTCTGTGCCATGCTGCTTTCCCCTGAGGGAGACCCCGACGCCCTGTCACCGGATATGCAACTAATGCATATGCAATAACAATAGGATGATGGTAGTGGGAGGGCTATATGTTATTACCATAGGAAGACTAGATAGTTATAATAGTATAAAACAGGAATAAGCTATAGGTGTAGAATGTAGCGAAGTAACTGTTAGGAAGGGGTGTAGAAGGGGGGGAAACGGGATGGGAGCTGTTGGGATTATGAGGGAAAAGGCACCGAAGGGCGAAATGTGAAACCAAGCAAACCCAACCCCGAGCCGCACATTTGGAATTGTGCAGCCTGGGGTTGGGTAAGGTCTCCCACGTCCAACCCCTCGATGCTTTCTCGTTGTTATTCTCTCTTAGTAGTGAAAGTGGTCATCCTAGCTTCTAGCACATGGTGGCACACACCAGGAGGGAACCTTGGGGGTGAGGGAGCAATCCCGTTCATAACAACGAGAAAGCATCGAGCTCGTAGTCATGGATAAGTATGAGCTACGTTGGGGTAGAGTGTTCAGTCGCCACGAGGAGGAACGGTCGCGACGAGAGGTGTCACGCGAACGTGGGCGATCGCTGGAGCGCTCGCCACGGAGGCCGGCTTTCCACGCAGACAGAGTCCCCACCGCAGGCGACCGACGGGAGGAGGGTAGGCCTAGCGTAGGAGCGAGCGGAGGAGGATATGCTGCGAGCGCGGACGGAGGCGCGTGGCGGAGAGAAAGAGATCGTGGAGATGGAGACGGGAGCGGAGACCGACGTGACGCGGGAATGTTCCGCTCGCCGGAGGAGCGCGGACGGCGCCGTGATGAGAGAGGCCGTTGGCGGGGCGTCGAGAGGTTTGACGCCGACAGAGAAGGGGAGGCCGCCCTAGAGGAAGAGCCGTGGGAAACATCCAGCGAGGATAACGCGGAGGGGGACGGCGCGAACCCAGAGCTGGAGGTCGATGACGCCGACGGAGGGCATGACAGCGAGGAGCCCGGGGCTGGGATCGAGGACGCCGAGCCCGCACAGGCAGACACTGCCGAGGGCGCAAGCCAGGAGGTGGCGGAGGGATCGCGGTCAGGTCGGCGGGAGTCGCGCGGGAGCGACGCCAACCGTCAAGAAGTGCACGACGCGGAGAGGTCGCGTCAGCAAGAGCGGCAGGAACGGGACGTGGGCGCTGACGCTGCGGGGATGCAGGGAGAGCGCGGAAGGGGCAAGGTGGAGCGCTTGCGCGTGGCAGAGGAGGAACCGCGAAGTTGGGAGCGAGCGCCTGTCATCTCTCGCTCTCTCGACAAGCGGCAGACACGCGAGGTCTGGGTCGGAGACGGCACGCGTTCGCCGGAGCGGCAGCTGGTGTGCAAGGGAGGATGGGAGGGTGAGCCAAGCGTACCCAACGGATACTGGCGGCAGGAAGAGAGGCGCAAGGAGGGGCCCAGTTCACCAGGGAGGCATGGCCAGCGGCAAGGGGAACGCGGCGGGGAGGCGCGGTCGTCAGGCCCACCAGAGCAGTGGGAGAGGAGGATGGGCGGCGGATTCCGCTCGCCGCACGCTAGGCAGCAGCAGAGCGGAGAAGGCGGCAGGGACCGGCGCTCGCCTGAGGGCCGTCGGCATCAGAGGAGGGAAGAAGCATGGTCACCGTCGCCTGAAAGGCAGAGACAGTGAGAGACAAGCACAGCAGGGTGGAGAGATGCGCGAGTCTCGCCGGCACGGCTGCAGGGGCGGGCAGAAGAGTGGAGGGGTCCGAGAGAAAGGCGCGGCGAATCGAGCTGGAGTCAGCAGGAGAGCAGAACGGGAAGGGGGAGCCTGGCATATGGCGCTGAGCGGGCTCGAGAGGACAGGGAAGGACTCGAGAGCATTTCTGGAGCGGCGGCAGCGGCGATTCCCGGGACATATGGCAGAGCGCATAAGGGAGTTTCAGGAGTTTAGGAGGGGGCGGACAGAGTCACTGCTGACCTATCACAACCGGCTGATCAACCTGGCCGAGGATGTGAGGTGCTCGGACGGTAGCCTTCTCATCAGCAAGTTCCTGGGAGGTTTGGACGAGGCCTTAGGAGGAGGGCGGAGGATGAGGGTGTACGAGTTGGGCGCTGAGGCAAGCCTAGAGGAGGTGTTTGACTTAGCAGAGAGGGTGGAGCTCGCACAAAGGAGGTACGAGGCTTATCTGCCCAAGCCAGCAGAGAGAAGCCGGAGTCCTACATGGGCAGTGGCAATGATACCGGAAGGGGGAGGGAGAACAGACGGACGAGGGGAGACAGGGATTGACACCAGGACATGTCACAAGTGTGGGCAGCCAGGGCACCTACGCAGGGACTGCAAGAATTGTGACGGTTGTGGGAAGCCAGGGCACAGGAAGAGGGAATGCCCAGATGCAGCCAAGTGTGAAATCTGCAAGAAACGGGGACACGAGGTGAGGGATTGTTACCAGAGGGAAGGGGGGACCAGGAGGCAGCCAGAGGAGCTGCAGCGGCAGATCAGTAGGCTGCAAGCACAGCTCAGGGCAACAGGGCTAAGAGGAGAGGCCGAGGCAGGGATGTATGCCAGAGACGAGGAGGGGGAGGAGGTGGAGCAGGATGTGCAGTGTGCACTCATGGCATGGAGAGGAAGAGAAGATATGGGGCTGAGGAGCGGAGGGAAGGATGGCAGGCGGGAGCAGGGAAGGAAGGAACAAGCGAAGGGAGAGAAGCCAGCTGAGCCAGCCCTCGAGCAAGCCCTAGCACGCCATCCACAAGAAAGGCTGGCGTGCCAGACCTCAGTACTACTGCTGGAAAAGGGAGCAATGGAAGTGGAGGGAGAGAAGGTGAAGACTGCAATCATAGACACAGGAGCTCAGAGCGTGATGTTGGGCAAGGGGATGGCGGAGAGACTGGGGTTGCTAGCGCCTGAGAGGCATGTGGCCAAGGGGATGCTGGTGATGACGGCGGAAGGGGGGGAGCCGAAGTGGATGCCATGCACCCGAACGCCCATAGAAGTGACTCTGCTGCCAAGGGGGGAACATGAGACCAAAATCCGCATGAAGTGTGGGATTTCAGAATCAGAGGACTTCGACGTACTGGTAGGCACCGAGTTGGTATTCGCGGTGGGGATGACTATATGTACTTGGACTGAGAAGGTCGAGTTCAGGACGCGGTACTGGAAGAAGGAGGGGCCCTTGGGAGAGCTGCCAGTGTGATTTGTGAAGGTAGAGCCCAAGAGGGCATACCAGGCCGTGGGGGAGCTGCTGACTGGAGAGCAGCACGCAGAGGAGCAGAGAGGAACAGCAGGGTTGAAGGGGGGACCCAGAATGAGGTGGATGGATGAGCCAAAGCGGCAGAGTGATTGGCAGCAGCCCATCCACCTGGTGGAGTTGTTTGGAGGGATAGGGGCAGGCCTGTCCGCGGTGATAAGGAGTGGGATAGCCGTGAGGAAATGGACCTACGTGGAGAAGGAGCCAGTGGTGAGGAGGATGGCGGAACACCATGCATGGAAGCTGCAAGCGGAGTTCCCAGACTTACTGAGTGGGAGGGTGGTTCAAGAAGCCATGGGAGGAGCCGTCCATGATGTGCAGGAGATAGGCGAGGCAGAGGTGGCGAGCTGGGGGCAGGTGGATCTGCTGGTGGCGGGGTGGGAGTGCCAAGGGGTGTCGTGGGCAGGCAAAGGGAGGGGAGGGGAAGATCTCAGGACCAAGTTGATGGGAGACTTGTTCCGCATCCTGGAATGGCTTTAGGAAAGGCAGGGCAGGGTGGCGTACCTGCTGGAAAACCTGGACCTGGAAGGAGACAGCAGAGAGCCGATCCGATTAGTGAGAGAGAGAATCAGGGGGCAGCTGGGGGAAGGGGTGAGCTGTGATGCGGCCAGAACAGGGTCTTACGCACACCGGCTCAGAATGTACTGGCAGAATGTGGTCCCTGCCATGAAGTTGCAAGCAGAGGTGAATGGGGTGAAGCGAGCAGTAGAGAGGAAGGTACAGGACATCTTAGCACCAGGGCGGACTCCAGCACCAGTGTGTCGCAAGAGCTACAGCCGGCATTATCCGTGCAACCAAGTAGGGCAGGAGAGGCGAGCCCTGCCCACTCTGGTATCGTATGCGGGAGCGGCTGGGTACAAGTGGGAAGCAGGGATGCCCGGGCTGGGAATGGTGTATGATCACAGGAGAGAGAGATGGGAAGAGCCCACGGCACTAGAACGAGAGCTGGCCATGGGGTATGGGGAAGATGTGACAGCAGCACCAGGGGCGAGCGAGGCGGATAGAAGGAGGGCTATCGGGAATGCGATGGATGGCCACATGCTGAGGTGGCTGATCCAGCGGATGTGGCGAGAGACGGTCGTGAGCTGGGGGCATGAGGAAGAAAAGGGAGAAATGGAGACAGTGCCTCGGGGGGCATGGAGCTGCCAGAAGAGGGAGGAGGAGAGATGGGAGGTGGGGGAAGCGATGAGCAAGAAGGGGAAGGAGGCCATGCAGGAGCTGCTGGCCAGGCACAGGAAGTGCTTCGCCTTCACCATGCAGGAACTGGGGAGGTGCAAGGTGAAGGAGATGGAGCTGAAGCTGAGCAGCACAGAACCAGTGTTTCACCGCAGGAGAAAGATGCCGCACGGGGACGAGGAAATCTGTAAGGAGAAGATCAAAGAGCTGCTGGAAGCAGGATTGATTAGGAGGTCAGAATCTGAATACGCCACACCGACGGTAGTGGCAGCCCGGCGGGACCTGACAGGGGAGGTGCTGAGCAGGAGGATGTGCGGGGACTACACGGCACTCAACAAGATCACCATAGCGGACAGGTACCCAATGCCAATGGCGGAATAAATATTTGACAAGCTAGCAGAAGGGGTGTTCTTCACGACTCTGGACCTGCGGCAAGGGTTCAACCAGATCAAGATCAGAGACGAGGACATCAAGAAGACGGCCTTTCATGGGCCAGACGGGCTGTATGAATGGTTATACATGCCATTTGGGTTGAGGAACGCCTCAGCCGTGTTCCAGAGGGTCATGGATAGCGTGCTGCGGGGAGTGGAGTGTGCGGCCTGCTACATTGACGATGTGGTGATATTCAGCACGACCGAGCAGCAGCACCTGCAGGATGTGGAGAGGACCTTGACAACGATAGAAGCAGCAGGACTCACCTGCCACCCGAAGAAATGTAGATGGGGGGAACAGACAGTGCAATATCTGGGGTATGAGGTGAAAGGGGGGCAGATAGGGATACAACAGGCAAAGGTGGAGGTCCTGGATAGGCTGCGGGAGCCTAAGGACAAGTCTGGACTGAGAGCAGTGCTGGGCTTCTTGAGCTACTATAGGCGGTTTGTGCCCAATTTCAGCAAGAGAGCAACGGTACTGAACGGGCTATTGCGGGAAGACAAGGCGTGGGAGTGGGGAGAAGCACAAAAGGGGGCACTGCAGGACTTAATGACAGCAGTGAAGACCGCAACGGTGCTCAAGCTGCCCACTGCCGATCAACCGTTCACGCTCTACACCGACTGGAGCAGCCAAGGGATGGGGGGGATACTCTGCCAGGAGGTGGAAGGAGAAGAGAAGGTGGTGGCATATGCGAGCAGGAGCTGCAACTCGGCGGAAGCACAGTACAGTTCTTACATAGGGGAAGGGTTGGCAGCCGTGTGGGCTGTGGGGCATTTCAGGGTGTACCTGCAGGGGAGGGAGTTCACCTTGGTGACGGATCACCAGCCCCTGACTTGGCTGATGACAACACCGGGGTTGACGGGCAGGAATGCACGGTGGGCAATGAAGCTGCAGGAGTATGACTTCAAAATCAAGCACAGGCCAGGGAAGACGTTGCAGCATATGGACGGTCTCTCTCGGAACCCCCCACCGCCAGAACCCACTGTGACCTTGACACTGCTGGCTAGACTAGTGGAGCTGAATGGGGCCAAGGGAGAGAAGGGGCCAACAGATATTTGGGAGGATGGACCTGCCATGCGGTGGGTGAAAGGAGAGAAAGGAGAGGACGAGGAGCTGACGGCGCGAGTAAGGGCAAGGGGACAGCACTACAGATGGTACCAGCAGCAGTTGCAGGTGCAGACAGAAGATGGTTGGAAGCTGGTGCCGGCGCCAAGCGAAAGGGAAGCGGTGATCAAAGAGGTACACACAAAGCTAGGGCACTTTGGGCACGAGAGGACGGTGCAGCTGTTGAAGACAGGGCGGTGGTGGGAAGGGATGCGGAAGCAAGTAAAGGGGTGGGTGGAGGGCTGTGAGGCATGCCAAAGGAGCAGGGCAAACCTCACCCAAGCTAAGGCGGAGTTGCCGTCCCTGCCTATCCGAGGCCTAGGTTTCAGATGGTCCTTGGATCTGGCGGGGGAGCTGCCGCTGAGCCGGGGGGGTAAGCAGAACATAGTGCTCATGGTAGAGCATGTGAGCAAGTGGCTGGAGGTGAGGGCTATCCCGAGCAAGAGCTCAAGGCACATGGCAGCAGCATTCAAGGAACAGGTGATTTGCAGATTCGGGGCATGTGCAGAGGTCCTCACAGATCAGGGAACAGAGTTCCAAGGGGAGTTCAAGAATCTGCAGGAGGAGACAGGGATCACCCACAGGCGCACTTCTCGGTACCACCCACAGAGTGATGGGCTGACCAAGCGCCTGGTGCAGACCTTGAAGCGGGGGCTGCGAGCGTATGGGGAAAAGAGGAAGCGGGACTGGGATGAGGAGCTGCATTGGATTGCAGCATGGTACAGGTTTGGGAAACAGGCGGCCTTGAGAGATCACTCTCCATATAGTCTCCTATATGGATGTGAGCCGCTGCTGCTGGTGGGAGCAGCCCGGGTCCTCACAGACACAGTGACGGCAGGAACCATAGAGAACTGGGTGGCACTGTCAGAAGCCAGGGCAAGATAC